GCATTATACAAGATATAGAAAGCTTTTTCATTTAACAACTGTTTTATTTATACAACAATGCAAATGACTTTATTTGTTCTTTAGTAATTTATATCATATTCAGATTGTCAACTTTTCATCAATGATAATACCCACAAACTTCATCACTCTATAAATCTCAACGCCAACTCTAAATGGGACATCAATAGTTTTATTTTTGTTCCCAAATATGTAAGTTGTTTTATCCAAATTTATTGATCATTTATTAAGTTTAAACCAAGTTAGTATTGTCATAAATTCTGTCTGTACCACCTCCAACATCTGCTCAACATTTCCACCAGAATAAAACAGTGTTGTGTCATCAGCAAACAAAATACGTTTTAAAAACATTGACACACTGATCAAATCATTCACATATAAAATAAACAGTTTTGGTCCGAGCACAAAACCCTGAAGAACTCCACAACTAATTTAGGTCGTACTACTTGAGCAAACTGTTTTCTGTTATTCACATAACTAGACATCCACTGTAGTGCTGGTCCTCTAAAGCTARTAAAACCTTTTCAATAAGAATGTTAGTCAGTTGTGTTAAAATCCTTTTTTAAACCAACAAAAACACTTTCATTAGACACAGAGAGGGCAGTTGACTGAGTTGAGTGGTCGTAAACTCATTAATTTGGTTAATCTGCTTAATGTATCTCTAAAAGCTAGTCTTTAAACAAATTCCAGTAACTGTGAATATTTCACATATCAAGGTTGTTCTCTAGCTGCATTTCTTTTTGCCCTAGCAGTAGAACCTTACCCATCACCTTGAATTTTCTTCCTGTTTTAGAGGGATTATGCGTAAGGGTGCTGAATATAGATGGCTTTGTACACTGATGATTGTGTGTATAAATTTATGTTTGTCTTATTGTCATGTTTCAAACTCAATAAAGAAATCTTGTAAAGAACAAAGAAAAAACGTTTTTACTCCTGTAAATAAAAAGAGATCCCTTTGGAATATGTGTTTGCTTACATGCTATGTTTTGGCTAGTGTTTGGCTATTTTTAATMAAATGTTTGGTTTCTCTTACCTTGCAGCCATCTCATCAAGTTTTAAAACCTTATATCAGCCAAAAAGTCTTTTTGATCTTGTTTTCAGACTGATTTACTAAACAAGAACTGATTGTGTAAGAATAATCATCTTGTTTTCA